GGAGGCCCGGCCGTTCGCTGTCCGCACGCCGGCCTCTGCGGCCCCGGGCGGGCGCTCCTCGGCCTCCCTGCTCCGCACGCTGCGCGGTGGTCGAGCTCCTGCGCGGGCAACCGTCCTCGGTTTATCTGTTAACGACCGTGGGGCGCCCCGGCTCCATCTGAGCGCGGCCTGAGGTCTTCACCCGGTTTTTGTTTGGGGTGTGTGTCCGTGTGTGCGTGGCTTCCCGTAGTAGGGACTGCACCCAGGGCCTTGGCACTGAGCATGCCTCCTGCCCGCCCTTCGCCACGCCCAGGCTGGACACGGATTTGCGATCCTCCTGCCTCAGCCTCCCAGAATGCTGGGATTACAGGCTCCGCCCCCGTGCACCCTCATCCGGCATATGTTACAGGCCCTGCCTCAGCTCCCAGGTCTCAGATCCTCCACGCAGAGCTGTCTTGCCCCCTGCCATGGTCGAGGTTTTATACGTAGGTACTTTACAGGGTGTTTTATTTGCTTATGCAACAGCTTTTGTGGAGGAACAGCTGTACAGCCAGGCCCTGAACATACAGTGGCAAACAGGGTTCTTTTCTTCCCCTGAGCCTGGAGTCTGAAGGGGGTGTAAGGGAGCACAGATATTTCCCCAGAATCAAACAGTTACAGCTGCAAAAGGAGGTTAGAAGTCAGTGATACTTCTCTTGTCTTTCCTCTCTCTCTCTTGTTTTTTTCTGGTACCCAGAATTGAACTCATGACCTTGCGCTTGGCAGGCAGGCGCTGTGCCACTGAGCTAAATCCCCAGCCCCGTCTTTCCTCTCTTCGTGCGCCCACCAGTCCCTCCTTCCCCCTCTCCCCTCCTTCCCTTACTTTTTAGACTGGGTCTTGCTGTGTTGCCCAGTCTTGAACCACTTGGCTCAAGGAATTATCCCATCTGTCTCCAGAGTAGCCGAGACTGTAAGGCCTGACTACACACTTTGAGTATTTAGGATGAGGAGATCCTGACTTAGGTAAGACGGAGGAGGCTTTTCTGCCGAGCTGAGGCTGAGCGTAAGATCCGGCACCTTTTACACAGAAGGCAGGGAGACCGGCTGAGAAGGCGGAGTACAGTGTGTGAAGGCTGCTGTGGGACAGGGAGAGGCCTGGTGAGTCCAGGACTGCCGCCATAGGCTTAGGCTGAGAACCGGTGTGGCACCGCTCAGAGGAAGCAGAGCCTTGGCCTTGACAGGAGCATGGTCTTATGCACCTGTGAGCCAGCTCTCCAGAGGCGAGACCGGAGGATCGCCAGCCTGGGGCACATAGTGAGATCCCGTCTCAAAAAGCGGACAAACACAGAAAAAAGTGGGAGAGTTTGTAATGCCCATTTGACCCCGCCCAGTAGCTGAGCAAGGGGAGGACATTGCTCCCACCACTGCCCTCCTATTGAACTCTTCCCAACTGGGTTTTTCTCCTAAAGTGCCTAGAGCTGTCTTTTAAATTCCAATGGGGGGGGGGGGCTGGGGATTCAGCTCAGCGGCACAGCGCCTGCCTGCCAAGTGCGAGGTCATGAGTTGGATTCCTGGTACTGGGAAAAAAAAAAGGGAAAAGAAAAAAGAAATACCAGTCAGGCTGGTTATGCAAGCCTATAATCCCAGCTACTTGGGAGGCAGAGGCAGGAGGATTGCAAGTTAGAGAGGGGGGTGTCACGTAGTAGTAGAGTGCTTCCCTAGTATGCTGTCACTAGGTTCCATCCTCAGCACTAAGGGAAAAGCATTTAATTCTTCAGCGAGGTCTTCCCTAAGTGCTCTCTAAAAGAACACTTAGTGTCAGCTCTTACCCTGTTTGATTTTTGTCGGTTAACTTTGACCACTAGATCCTAAGTGCCTTGACAGCTGGGAGTTTATTTTGTTGTCTAGTAGATGCTTGCAGCACCTAGACCGATGCCTAGTGTACAGTTGGGACTCAGTAAAAAATATCTGTTGAAAGAGTGAACAAGTGGATGTATCTGTTGTGTGCGCTTGCCCTAAAATGACCCACCGTTCCACTGAAGAAGCTCTTATGAAAGTCGATCTGGTTCTTAGAGCCAGTGGTCACGGCTTCAGACCTTTCTGTGACCCTGTGTCTGTGGCATCCTCCTGTCTTCACCGACACAGCCCACGTTCAGGCCTGCGTCGTTCCCCACTCAGATGACACAGTAACCTCCTAATCAGTTCTCTTATATTACGGCTTGTATCTAGCTGTCTCCCCAGAGCTTCATGCCGTCGTAGGTGGGGCTTATCAGAGGTGGCTGGATCTAGAGTGTGTGATGCCGGGATTGATTCCCATGTGATGCTAAGATTAAGGCTTCCCCTTCCCCGGTGTGAGTGCTGTCTGCCCGAAGGGTGGTGCTTCTCTAGGATTACAAATTGAGTAGCTTTGATCCATCCAAACGGCAGGTGTTTGGCATGAATTGCGGAGGTTGGGAACAAGGGGTAGGGGATCCTTGCTCCTTCAGGAAGTCATTTGCAGAAGTCATTTGAGAGTTGCAGAGATACTGCAAGAATTAAACAGGTGTGTGTGTGAGTGTGCAGCACTCGGGAGGCTGAGGCAGGAGGGTCGCTGCAAGTTTGAGGTTAGCCTGGGCTACAAAGTGAGCTCAAAGCCAGACTGAAATGCATAGTGAAACCCTGTCTCAAAATGACAAAAAAATAAGGGACCGGAAGAGTGTTGTTGCTAGTCACTTGCTGCTTGCTGCTGCTGCTTCTTCCTTTGACCTGCTGTGAGCTGTTTCTCCTCTGTGTTGCCCCTCTGCCCTGTTGACCTGCCCTGGAGCCCGCCGACTATGAACTGAAACCTCTACAAACCGTGAGCCAAAATGAACTTTTCCTCCTTTAACTTTGGGTGTCAGATATTTTGTCTCAGCAATGAGAAAAAGTAACTGGGGGCTGGGGATTTAGCTCAGTGGCACAGCGCCTGCCTGGCAAGCGCAAGGTTGTGAGTTCGATTCCCGGTACCAGAAAACAAAACAAAAAAAAAAAAAAAGAGAGAGAAAAAAACTAACTAAGACACCCTACTTTCAGGGTAGTTATTCTCTCCTTTTGTACCACTGCCACGATGAGCTGTCAGAATGACACAAACAAAACAATTAGGACATTTATGAAACCATTGAAACTTTGAACATTGACTGGATTTTTGCTAAGGAATCTGTGTTCGTGTGTATACATTTAATGGGAATGACACAATGCTTATAAATATATTTAATGCAGAAGTAGGGGAAATGGGATAGAAGGATGGATGGATCAGGACTGGCCAAAGTGAGCATGGGTTGATGGTCATTAGAGTTAGGTGTTGAGTTTCTAGTAGTCCCATTATATTATTCAGTCTGGTTTTGTTTATGTTCAGAATTATTTGGGGGTGAAAAAAATTTTTTTCGAGGCGGGGTCTCACTGTGTAGTTCAGAGTGGTCTTGAATTCACTCCATAGCCCAGGCTGGCCTTGAACTTGTGGAGATCCCCCTGTCTCAGCCTCCCAAGTGCTGGGATTACAGGCATGTGCCACCATTCCTGGTGGGGTGAAAATTTTAAAAAGCAAAACAAACAAAACCCAAGTACAAGCTGGGTGTGGTGGTGCATGCCTGTAATCCCAGCACTCAGGAGGCTGAGGCAGGAGGATTGCTGTGAGTTCAAG